ACCATTCTCACCGGGAAATGGGTCTTCCGCATCAAAACGAAAGCAGACGGCACAATCAAGAAGTTCAAAGCACGATGGGTCGTGCGTGGATTCGATCAGGAGCAAGGACGAGACTTCACCGAGACATTCGCCCCAGTTAGTCGACATACCTCTCTCCGAGTTCTTCTCGCCGTCGCCGCCATGAAGAAGAAGAAGCTACGACAAATTGATGTCGCCAACGCATTCCTCTACGCACCCGTCGACGCCAAAATCTTCGTCGAACTCCCACACGGTACCCACGGAAAACCCAATCAGGTTTGCCAGCTACTGAAATCGCTCTACGGAATCAAACAAGCCCCGCGGCTGTGGCAACAGCACCTACACACCCGCCTCACTCGCATCGGATTCCGCCAACTACCTCACGACCAAGGGATGTATCGACTCACCAAAGACGCAGACTACATCCTGCTGATCGTCTACGTCGACGATCTACTCTACATCGGCTCCACCGACGACATCACCTCCTGGTTCGAAGGGGAGCTGCAGAAGGACCTCACGCTCACGGTTTCCTCTACCGTCACTCAGTACCTCGGACTCAACATCCGCGAAGAAGAGAATGCGATCTACCTAAGCGCCGAGAAATATGCCGACACTATCGCCAAGCGTTTCTCGCTCACACCTACCGCTATCGCCACGCCATACCGCTACACGGCAGGAAATGACAAAGTCAATTCCGCTCCACTCAAAGCTGCCGGAATACGTGACTACCAGAGGAAGCTGGGCTGCCTCCTCATCGCAGCCGTCACCTGCCGCCCGGATCTATCCTACTCCGCAAGTCAACTCCCCACCTACCTCAAGAAACCCGAAGCAGAGCACCTGGCGGAACTCGACCGCGCACTACACTACTTTGTGAGTACTCCGACGATCGGCCTGACTTACTACAAGAGTGAAGCTACGTCAACAAAACTAATCGGCTACGTTGATGCCGATCATGCCGGCGATTCCGATAACAGGCGATCCCGCACTGGCTACATCTATCGTCTCGAGCCTATCGGACCTATCTCCTGGCAGTCGAGCAAGCAGGAACTAATCGCTCTATCTTCAGCTGAAGCAGAATATATCGCCCTCTGCTCAGCCACCAAGGAAGGACTCTACCTTCGCGAGCTGCTGGAAGAAGCAAAGTTAGCCGAGTTACCCAACTTCACCCTGTTCTGCGACAACCAATCTGCGATTCGCATCGCCAACAAAAGCGGATTCGCGAACAGAACGAAGCATATCACTCTGCGATACTTCTTCGTGAAAGACGAGATCGAGAAAGGGAAACTCGAATTATCCTACTGTCCCACGTCCGAGATGGCAGCCGACTATTTGACCAAGAAGCTCGGAAAACAGAAGTTGGAGTACTGCATGCTGCTGACTGGACAAGGCCACGTCACCATCAGCGACACTCAAGAAGCGAAGGGGAGTGTTGGGAATAACAAGTCTTAAGCGCCTCTGTCGTGTCGAAACTTAGGACACAAAGCGAAGCAGCTCAAATCGAAGCTTCACGAGTCAAAAGTCAAGCGACCTTTGACTTGACAAATACAGCGCGACAGCAAGGACACACAACTGACTCGACATTGAGCAGTTGCCCGAGTCGCACTGTATCGAATCGCAACAGCAAAACAGTTTAATTATATCTATTCGTATTCCTTGTACTCTTATATAAAGCTTTGTATTTGCTTGTTTTAATCAACTTACTTTGCCCTCACATACTAGCGCAAGGTGGTTCAAGGACTTTTCATTCAACGCTTCCGCTATTACATCATCCTACTAAGACTTTAACTCTACAAAGATCCTAGGGCACCTCAGCCCAACACTGTGGAACCTGTACTGTAAATGGAAGTACCGTATGGCCCCGGATAGAAGCGCAGGCCTATGTTAAGCGCATGCGCTTGTATCTGGAGCAATGCGCTTATGGCCGATCCTCAATTATAAGCGCACCCCTTTGGAATTCTTGACTTATTATAAGCGCACTCGTTTAGTTAAAAAAAAAAAGAATTTCATTTTTTTTAACCTACCTAGCCTACATGTTCTAAACTTTCCATCAAGAATGACTATCACATACAAGGGTGGTCTCTGCTGTCCTGCACTACACCTTTCAACCTGCCTAGTCTACCCTACTGCCTTTTCTTCCTCCTCGTCCGACTCAGGCTCCGTGGAGTTGTTGCCCCAGAACCCATCTGCCTGGATGTCGTCGTCCACCTCCACCTCATGGGACAACTGGCACCTTCGGTGCGCTAGCACCAGTTTGTCTTCGCTCCCATCAAGGGCGTTGCTGATGCCGCAAGTGAGGAAGGCTTTCTTGATGAGGTCGGCGGGCACCGCCTTCCAGGCCCGTGAAATCCACTTGAGCACCACCTCCGGAGGTGGTTTCTTGATGTTCCCTGCATCACACGGAGTGGGGCGGGGAAAACATGAGACAAGTAAACATGCATTCAAGCTCAAGATTTGCAGACGGGAGCACATGCCGTCACTCACCTGCCGGGGTCAGGATGTTCATGCCGTCCTCCTCAAACCAATTTTGGTACTGCTGACGAATGCTTGCTTTGAAGCTTTTGTTGATCGACACATCGAGGGGCTGCAGGTCTGCCGTGCAACCCGCCGGAATGATAGCAGGCACGATGTTGAGCGCCGCGAATCTCGCCTTGACTTCTGGTGTCAGGTGACCGCGATACGAGTCGAGCACCAGCATGGCGCTACGACTCTGCAGGCCGAATTTCGGCTTCAGGAACGGCACCACGCCCGTGTTGAGCCACTCGATGACGCCTGCGGCCTCCATCCACCCGTTGGCTTGGCAGCCGACCACAACATCTGCACGCAACGAAAAAGAACAGTTAACGACTCAGGTAGTAACGGGAATAAACACGGTGGACGATCACTTACCGTTCGGGAAGTCACCCTTGGGGAGTGTCTTGCGCTTGAAAAACACCCACGGCTTCAGCTTCTCGCCCGTCGCCGTGCACGCAAGCATGACGGTCACTCTCTCCTTCTGGTACCCACCGCTGCGAATGGGCACCGACCTCACGCCCGTCTGCTCCACGGTGGTCGTCGCCGGCATCTCTAACCACAGCGGTGTCTGGTCGGCGTTGATGATGTAGCGGTTGTCAATGTCGTATTCGTGACGGGCGTCACGTACGTACTGCCAAAAATCATTGCACTGCTCAGCCACGTCTGCAGAACAGGGAGAAAGGTACATACAGTAAACCAAATTAGTATGACGCATAGGAGACATGCGAAAAAAACTAAGCGCAATCGGGTACCCACCAAAATCAGCAGTAAACGACCCACTTACGCTCCTGTGTTTTCTGTGCCACCTTTGTTTTCATGCGCACGCTGAGGTTCCACCGCCTGCGGAACCGCTCCGTCCACCGCTGACTGGCTTTCCACTTGACGTCCGGGTATAGAACCTTCATCACTTCTTTGGACCACTCTTGCAGCCGGCCGACCGAAACCGCAACTCCGCGGCGTCGCCAGTCGAGGAGTTGCGCGTACACCTTTAACTCCATGGGGCGGTACCAAGACGACCTCCCGCGCCCGTGAAGTCGCATCCGTGCTCCGTGTGCAGCCTTGAGCGCATCCGCTTGGGCTTTCCATTCTGTCAGACATTTTCGGTGAATGCCTGACTCCCGCGCCACTTCGCTCACCGAAGCCGCAAGCTCGAGCCGCACGAGCCACCTCAACTTCTCCTGGGCGGTGTAGGACTGCCGCTTATGTTGATTCAGCTTGTGCCTGGGGGAGGGGGGGCGGGCATCTCGATTCTCGGTAGACGGGTGGGGGCGTTTTTTATTAAGGGGCGGATATGTCGGTACCGGCATCTTCGCGCGTGGTGCGTCGCGCCACCAGGACTCCACACCGTCCTCGTCCTCGTCACGGTCGGGGAACACGTCTTCCTCGTCGCCCGCTGCACCGTCGCCACCAGCTTCACCGTCGCCTCCAGCTTCGCCGGCGCCGCTGTCATGTTTATCGGTAGCCACATCATCGTCGGCGCCCACAGCCGACTCATCCCACGCGCAGGATTCTGGTTGTCCCCACCGTGGTGCAGTCGCTGGAGCTTGGATGCGTGCATCGCGGGCCTTCGGTGTGTCCGCTTCAGCCAACCATTCGTCGAACGTGGCTGGTAAATACAGTTGGAGCACGGGCCGTTGGTGAGCACCTGCCGTGGCAAAAGCAGGCGGATTCGGAGGAGCGGGAGGTGCGGGAGGAGCGGGTGGAGCAGGGGGTGCAGGGGGAGCAGGAGGAGCAGGGGGTGCAGGGGGATCCGGTGGCACTGGAGGCGCTGGTGGCTCACGGGTATACCACCCGTCTTCGGTAAGTCGCCATGTGCGGCGTGGCTTTTTCTTGAAGAGGATGCTCGTCCCACTAAATTCCGCCATGGCTTCGCCTGCCAGGCGGGGTTGACAAGGAACTGAATGAAAAAATCAGAGAAGAGGGTGAAGAAATGGGCAACGACGGTGACCCCTGCTGTGTGACGGCTCGGGTTCCTCGTCGATGACAGGCAGGAAACCCCCGCCCACTCCCGTAGAGGCGCCTGCGTGGCAGCATCTACGCTGCGCTGGCAGAGAATCTTGCCGAACCTTCGAGATGGTTCTGCCCGAATGCACATGCCTCGCAGCGCATGCGGCTCTGATTGGGCCGCACGACAACATCATCGTCACGGCTGTCACATTCTATGTTTCCAGACAACATTGTGCGGTGGTAAACCGAACCGCTGCGGTTTCTGCCTGAAAACCATGCACGATCCCACTTGGTGCATGGTCGGTTGAATTCGCCTTATTGAGAGCTTCACAATGGTGTGTTCAAAATTGATTTTCATTTTTCCCTTTATACAAGCGCATGCGCTTATAAATCTGACTCAATTATAAGCGCACCCCCCCAAAAAACAATGTTTTATTATAAGCGCAGGTGCGCTTCTATCCGGGGTATTACGGTACCGGTACCTACCGTACATTGTTTCTACGGTATCAAAATTCTGCAAGGTCCTACATCTGGGAAAATGCGTTCGTCACTGCTGTGTGCTGCTGCTGCTGACCCTTACTGTCGTCACAAAAAAACTTGTCGAGGAAAGGGGGTTGATTCCCCAGCTGGGCAGGACACACCTGCAACACTAGGGCCGAGATTAAAGAGGGTGGTGAGTGGGTGGGAATCAAGGTGCATGCCTGCTACCTACCGTACCTCAACTGCTTTCGCGGTAGTGACGGAGAAAGTGTACCGACCGTACTAACTTGACCCGGCTGTACTGTGCAAGTTCCTGCAATTGCTCCCAAACCGGCACCGCCCTCGCGCAAACGCCTTACACACAAACGCAGTCTTGGCCGGCCGCAGCCTCATCAGCTTCTCCCACATCACCACCCGCTCCCCCTCCCACCCTCGCTTCGCCGCCTCAAACGACCCCTCGTCTAAAAACACCTTGAGGTGCAGATGCGGCAGGTTGCGATACGACCCGTGGTTCACCACCATGCGTGAGAACACGACCTTCTCTTTCTGCACTGCAGCAGCCGCCGTGTGGAAAAATTCGTATAATTCCGAGTCATTGAGCTCGGATAGAGACTCCACGTGGCGTACGGGGGTTATGATGAGCCCTGCACGGCCCTGTGCGTCCAGGGACACGCGCACGTGTGGCTGGTTGGCCTCGTACTCGCGTAGGATCAGGTCGCCTGATGTCATCACTGCGTCGCTGCCTCCTCCTTCCCCTGCTTGTCCTCCTGCTGCTGCTTCAGCTTCTACCGCCTCTGATGCTCCTGCTGTTGCTGCTTCTCCTCCTGCTTCTACTGTTGCTGCTGCTGCTGTCGCCGCTGGGTCTCCCTTGTCACCCTTCTCCCCTTCCTCTCGCCCATCCCGTTGCTCGTCACTCACCGCCTTGGAACCATCTCCACCATCCCCAAATTCCCCCGACGTTCGCGGGATTTTCTCCGCGCTTCTTCCTGACTCTCCGCCAGCGCCTGTACCTGCACCTGCGCTCTTGTCACCGCCAGCAGCAGCGCCAGCAGCAGCGTCTGCAGCGGGGACAGGGGCAGTGGTGAAGAGCGGTGCAAGGGGGTTACATGCGATGCAGCCCTGTGGCACGTCCACGGCCACGGGCCCCTCGTGCTGCTCCCCAAACATCACCTCCACCACAAACGCCCTCTGCTCTTGCGCGCCCCCGCCCCCGCCCCCGCCCCCGCCACCGCCCCACCTTCCGCCCCCGCCACCTGGCGAAAATTCCCCGCCTGCCCGTCCGCCCCTGAACGGCGGACCCCGGCCCCTTTGCGGGGAGGGATAGCCCCCGTTGCCCCCGTCTCGCCCGCGCCCGCCTCCGCGTTCCCCCCATCCCCGTCCGCCTCCTCCCCGCCATCCTCCGCCTCCTCCCCGCTCCCCACCGCGCCCGCGCGATTCGCCGTCGATCCGCAAGTGGTAGTCGCGCAGGTTTCGCATCGCCAGGTCGCGCAGGAGCTCGCGAAAGAGGCGCGCGACGTCGCACGGCGGCGTGCGATCCAGGAACGCGAGGAAATCGAGCGCGTCGTGCGGAGGAAGGGGGTGGTAGGCTAAGTGGCCGGGACGCCGCTGCTCACACCGAAGAAGCTGAGAGGGGGAAGAAGAGGAGGGCGCATGGTTAGCGGAAGCGGACGAATCGGGAAAGAGCGAAGAAGGCTCTTCGCCATGATACGTGCCGTCTCCGTCGCCATGGGGATACCTAGGTTGGTGCGACGGCTTGCGCTTCGCCATTCTCGCGTGACTAGGGGGCTCGTGCGCGCTGTTGCAAAAAATGGGGAGATTCCGATCCGTGTGAAATCCTACCGAGAGTGGGCGTGGAGCGGACACGGCTGCGAATGCATCAAATGGCGCGAAATTCGAGGATGCGGAGGTGAGAAATGAGCGAGGGATGGAGGACCAAGAGGGAAGACAAGGGCACAAGGTGGCCTCTCCACCAACAATACTCCGCTAGACAGAGACTCGTTTCAATCCTATTGCTGACGATTATAACCTTGGGATGATCAAGATGTGTTTCAAGAGTTTAGAACCTTGGGTTCTTCAGGATTTTGTACCGCAGCATACTCCTACAAATAAAACAGTTATTTGAACCATTTTCCTACAGCACCTAAGCCCATTGTCAAGCTGGTGCGGGATGCTACACCAAAAATTAACCTAGTGCCTACAATAACAAAAAGGTACATCATGGTTCATGAATTTTATCCTCACACAGGAGAGAATCCTCACAAGACGATAGTCTCAGGCCTGCTCTAATCCTCGTTATATCACTTGAAAAGGATGATGCATGCGTTCCCTGAAACACATCCGCCATTGCACATATCGCCTTGTCTAGTGTAGCTCGCACTGTCACTTCATCATCAAATGCAAACGGTTTTGTCACATCCTCCCATGCTTGGGAATCTAAGGATTCGGGCAGTCTGAAAAGTTGAAAGGACGGAATTCGCTCCTTGATAAACTTCACCAGTGATTCAACCTGAATGGCACAGCCCACACCAAGGGAAGGGCACAGCACAGCAGCATAGACAAGGTGGTGAGATCAAGAACAGGGATGCGGAACACAACAAACACAGCAAACACACAGCAACTGATGCTCATTTCTCCCGCGTACCCTGCGCTTGCTGGTTTGCGTTTGCTGCAGTATGTCTGCTCCCGTTCCAAGCCTGCAACTAACTCTTCTGCCCTGCCTGCTTTCAAGAATACTGTCATGCACAGATTCTGATAAACGTCGCCCCTGTCTAATAGCTGGCACCTCAACATGCATCACTGCGTGCCACACCTCAGAGCATCATTTCCTCAGAGCATCCTTTCCTCATCACTGGTGCCAAGGGGATCAGGATTCACGACCAACAGATGTTACTAACACATGTGCTGCACGTCCCTTCTTCTTGCCACAAACAGCTGTTTCATTCATCGGAATCGCCCCCACACTTGGCACGGCACCTGAACCTGCCCGGACCGGACCCCATCCCACCAACCATGAGATTGCTTCACAGCAAACCTTGCCACACACCTGCACCCGCATTTGCCACACACCTGCACCCGCATTTGCCACACACCTGCACCCGCATTTGCCACACACCTGCACCCGCATTTGCCACACACCTGCACCCGCATTTACCACACACCCGCACCCGCATTTGCCACACACCTGTTTTATTCCTTTTGGCTCAACCCAGAACTGAGCCCCAATGCTCTTGCACCCAAGCAAAGCAAATGGCTACCTCAAGACTGACACCCTCCCTCATCCGTGTCTATAGTTAGTAAACAGGTGGGCTGCGGAGGTCAACTATTTTCGGCTTTTGCAAGCCTTCATCAGTACAAACAAGCCTGAAGCTAAGAGACGGTAATGAACAAGCTAGCAAATGGCGACCTCAAAACTGACACTCTCCCTCATCCGTGTCTATAGCCAGAAACATCCTTGAAATGTTCCCAGACAGGGACATGCACATTTCAATCGACTTATCAAACCAACCAGCCCGCGCACCCATCCCATACCTCACTCACCTCTCCCTCATCCGTTTGAGTAGTGCCAGGAACGTCCTTGTATAATTGTATTAATCCCGGACAGACGCATGTGCTTTTGAGTCGACTCAAAAAGCAACCAGCCCATACACCCATCCCATGACTCACTCACTTCTCCCTCATCCGTGTCTGTAGCCAGGAAAATCCTTGTAATATTCCCAGACAGCCGCATGTGCTTTTGAGTTGACTCAGCCCACACACCTAACCCGCCACTCACTCACCTCTCCCTCATCCGTGTCTGTAGCCAGGAACATCCGGGTGATATTCCCAGACAGGCGCATGCGCTGCACGAGGCACGTGCCCACACGGGCCACAGGTAGGTGCACCCAGGGGTCCTTGGACAGCTGCACCAGGTCCGTGCGCCTCCAGTGCACCGCTATGTACCGCGCCACACCTGCTGCTTCGTCCGCTGCACTGTCTCCCACCGCCCACAGCGTCCTGTTGCTCGCTCTGCTGCTCCCACCGCTCCCGTTGCTCTCATTGCTCGTGTTGCTGCCATTGCTGCCGCTGTCAGCCTTTCCCTCAGAGTCATCTGCCGCTGTACTCGTATTCATGCTCGCCGCCTCTCTCTCCTCTGCATCCTCCCACCACCGCCTCTTTCCACCGAGAATCACCCCCCGGATAAACCGATCTGCGGCTTCCAGAATCGCCGGGTGAGGGTGTATTGCCAGAGTGTTCCCACACCCCGGGAGTGTAAAGAACGGAACATCCATTCCCCGAGGCCCCTCGAGATTGAAAGCAGCCAAGTCGCCAAGCACAATGATGCGTGAGGAGGGGCGGATGAGAGCAGAGAGGTTGGTGAAAGCACGCGTGTCTATGGGTCCTGCAGGGAAGGGGGCGGTGGTGATGGTGAGAGTGGGCGAGAGGGAGAGGCCTGGTAGGTCCGGGAGGCGGTCTGGTGAGCCCCATCCGGGTTGATTGTAGCATTGCTCTCGAATGCAGATGACTTGGTCTAGCACTGCCACGCTGCTGTTGCTATTGCTGCTGCTGCTGCTGCTGGTAGTGCTAGCAGTTACACTGCCATTTGTGGCACTGCTGTTGGCACTGCTGCTGTTGGTGCTTCGACCGGTGCTGTCCCCACTGCTGTTGGATGTGTCAACCCCCCCAGCACCACCATTGGCGTCCCCTCCTCCACCCACCACCTCCCCTTCCCCCACCACCACCATTGACGGCCCCCTTCCCGCCCCTCCACCCGCCCCTCCACTCGCCCCTCCCCCAGCCACTCCACCTGCGCTCATCCTCCCCAGCAGGTCTTCCCAGGAGATGACAGAGAGGGGCCCGTAGCAGCGGTGCGTGTGGGGCAGGTGCAGGAAGGCGCGGCGGTCGTAGTGGCGCGGCACGAGGGGTGTGCGCATGGGCACGACAAGCGTGCGGTTGAGCATGCCCGCTGCTATCATGCTGTGCCGCATGCACCGCACCCTGTTGCTCAGCTGTGGGGGGAGGGGTGGGAAGGGGGGCGAGAGGAGGGAAGGAGAGGAGGAAGTGAGGAAATGAGGACGGGAGGAGGGGAGGAAGTGAGGAGGGCGGAGTGGGGGAGGATGTTTTAATCTTATAATTTATACAACATCCATCGGCTAGATTATCGGGTGTAGTCACTTGTTCTATTGGGGGGTCCTTGGTCCTTGGCCCTTGGTCCTTGGTCCTTGGCCCTTGGTCCTTGCCAACGTTTGGTCCTTAACCCCACCAATCTCAACCCACTAACTCATAATCGTGGTTGCTTGGGCTACAAGCAAACTCATTCATTGGCTAACTTAGTGGCTCACTAGGGATAGCTTCCTTTTCACCCCTCTCTTGCTCCTTGCTTGACTTGAAATATAGAACCTCTTGGCTCATTACTCAATACAACTTCTTACTTTCTAGCAGAGGAGGGGGGAGTGGAGGAGGAGGGGGGGACGGGGGGAAAGGAGGAGAGGGGGGACAATGGAGGGGCAAGTGTTGAAGACGGATCAGATCCAGGAGTAGGGAGGAGCTTGTTTGTGGCAGGTGGGAAGGACGAGGAGCAGTGGGATAGGAGGGGAGGCGGAACGGGAGAGGACGGGGACCGGGGGGAAAGTTAGGGGCGGGGAGGGGCACTAGACGAATGACAGAGGATGGTGAGGAGCGTAGAGTGTGCATTTTGAGAGCACAAAGCACCCAGTGCAAGCACACGGGAGCACGACTTTTGAGTCGACTCAAAAGTCATTTTGAGAGCACAAAGCACCCAGTGCAAGCACACGGGAGCGCGACTTTTGAGTCGACTCAAAAGTCATTTTGAGAGCACAAAGCACCCAGTGCAAGCACACGGGAGCACCGTGCCCCCTCCACCCCTCCCCCCTTTCAACCCCTTCCCACCTGGAGCTTGTGGCAGTCCAGGAGCATGTAGCAGTCAGGCTGTGGCACCCAAGCCAGCTGCCCCTCGTGTTGCCCCCAGACCCGAGCTATACCTCATGCACCCAAGCCGGCCTTCCGCACTCTCCAGTCCCCCACCCCCCCCAACCGCTTCCCACCTGGTGCTTGTGGCAGTCCAAGAGCATGTAGCGGTCGGGCTGAGGCACCCACTCTTCCCTTTGCCTCTGTGCCCCAATATTCCCCATGCACCCATGCCCACCGTCCCCTCACTCCGCCCTCCTTCCCCCCTTCTCTCTCCCCATCCCACCTGGTGCTTGTGGCAGTCCAGGAGCAAGTAGCGGTCAGGCTGTGGCACCCAGGCCAGCTGCCCCTCGCGCCACCCACCGCGGTACAGCAGCTTGAACTCGCTGCACGCACCGCTCTGCACCTTGGTGCGCTCCTCCGCTTCCTTCTGCTGCTGCGTCACGTTGCGACCCCTGGTGGCGTGGTGGTGGGGTGTGGTGGTGATGGGGTGGGGGGTGGTGACGTGGGGTGGGGGGTTGTGAGAATGGTTGCGGTATGGGGTTTGGCACGCACATGGTGGTGGTTGGTGGGGAGCAGGGTGGGGGGAGTTGGTGGTGACTGGCTGTTGGTGCAAGACAGGGAACTGCAAATGAAGGAGGGCAATACCAAGGGCAAAGGCCGATGGTGCGAGAAAGACTCAACAACAGAGGGAGAGGAGGATTTGAACGAGAGGATATGATTGGAGAGGACAGAGGGAATGGGGGAACGGGGCCTGTGGAGTGGAGAATACCCCCTGCCATCAGATCCAGCAGCAGGCGACTTTTAATTTGGGGAGCCTCAAAAGTCGTCTTCTGTGGAGAATACCCTCTGCCATCAGATCCAGCAGCAGAAGCTATGATCTTTCCTCAATATGGCTGCTCTCAAAACAACCCCCCCCCTACCCCTCCCCCCTCCCCACACACAAACACACACATGCACAGTCGCTCACGCACCAGTCTTGTCTCACTTCCGGTAAAGGCACTGATACCGCTGGTAGCGGCACTGGTGCCTCTGGTGTGGACAGAGGAGTCACTATGCTGCCACCGTCACCGCTGCCACTGCCACTGCCACTGCCGCTGCCGCTGCCGCTGCTACTACTGCTGTCAGCAGCACTGCCATCTACTACTACACCAGCAGCCGCATTAAAGGTCAGCGATTCGGCTTCCGCTGCTGCTGCTGGAGTCGGTGCTGTTGCTACGGCAGCAGGGGCAGCAACAGGAGCCAAGGCACGGCCCTCCAGTGTTTCCACATCCACATGACCAGCTGGCAACACCGGTGCTGCTGCACTTGCCATTGCAATCGATACTGCACTCGCTGCTGCTCCACCCACTGCTGCATCCCCCATCTGTGTCCCGCTCAAGCTCCCTCCTCCGTTCACCCGCGCTAGCTCCTCCTCCAGCGCCTCCACTCGCCCCACCACTGTGCCCCCGGTCTCCACCGCCTCTGCCAGCCGCCTGCCACCGGAACCCCGCCAGCCGCTCCCCGCGCGCGTTTTCCCCGCGCCCGCCGCGTCTGCGCCCAGGGGAACCTCTCCGCGGGCTGTCACGTGCGCCGCTGGCCGCTGCCGTGAGGCTCGTTGCCGCGACGATTTGATTCTGTGGCGTGGCTCATTGGCTGCTGCGCTGCTGCTGACGCCATTGCTGATGCCTCTTCTCGTTCTTCTCCGTATTCTTGTACTCGTTAAAAGCGGATTCGATAACACTTCGAACGAGGTGGATGTGGAATAAAGCCGTTGCGGATTCTGAATCTTTGGAACCTCCGTAATCACCGAGATATCCGCAATTTCCGGAGATTCCAAATCGTATTCTTTCTTGAAGCGGTGAGGTAAGCCGCCTCGCTTTGCCGCATATGCGAGAACTGAATCGAGAAAGTGAGAAGATAAAAGAGCCAGCGCGAGGGGTACCGCGTCGAGCCATCGCAGCATTCCACGGCAGCCGACGCGTCGGCATCGTTGGGGCCGTCGCTCGGTTCGCATTCTGTCGCAAGAAATAGGAGAGGCAGGATATCGCCACGCGCATGAAGAGAGAAATACAGTGTTGTATTTGCGGGTGCAAGGCCACATGGTGTCGTTTTACACCCGCATCAATTATTTTTACATCATCATGTGTGACTGTGTGATAGCTTGATTCTACTAATAACGAGTGACAAGCGGTGTCAGGTGATGAGACGATTCGTGATGGATTTTGGCTGATGAATGCCCGTTTGTGATAGAGGCGCTGTTCTGGCGCACCACGGCCAAAAAACGGGCATCTTTTGGAGGGGGAGTCACCCTCGGTTCAATTTTGCCAGACCATTTTCCCGTTGTGCAGACACGAAATTGGCTGAGCTGGTACAGTAAAACGAGAATTTTCCCGCACGTGCCTTCACGTTTTGCCAGCTCAGCCAAGAAAGGGTTGAAGGCACTACTCCTGATGCCTGTTTGAGCCCCTCCCGGTTGCCTTGTGAAGGGGGCATATAAGCTGTCACGAGGCATTTCGGTTAATTTCGTCAATTCGCAGCTAGCTAAAAAGGATTCGCATGTGCTTATATACAATATATGTTACCATATTTGACTTCAGTCTATTCTGCTTGACTTCGGTCTGTTCGTTATTATTGGTTGAACACCACGCGACGCGCTTGTAATGTAGGTGCATGAAGCTGGGGAAACAACCTCGGGTGCAGCGTATCCATCCGGCGCAAGGCAAATTCGCGTGCATGGGGTGAGCATCAGGTGTACGAAAGTGACCTCGGCACCACTGGTGCGGTGACCGAGAACTGCAGCAGAACAGCGCCAGAGTGACGCGCTGTGAGGACTCCAACAGTTGGGATGACTGGCTGAATAAATACCTGTAACCCAAAACGAACCTCTGGTTCGTCAGAAATTATTGGTTGGAAATCCGTGACATGCAAAAGTTGTTGAGCGGCATCCCCGAACCTTCCAAACCGAAACGAGGTTTCCTGTGATGTAGACACAGTCCTTTTCCTGGATAAACAGTTTACTTGCCTGTGGAATATCAAGCATACGCCGTTCGAAAAAACAAGGATCCCAAATGCGCTTGCTAGGCGGGAATGGATTTGGCTGGTGGCACACAAACACTGTCACGGGTGACAGGACAAGGATGTTCCAAAGATGTTGGAGTTTGGGCTCTTCGTTTCGATCATCGAAATAGCAGTCTGCACGTTGAGAAAGCCAAGGGTTATGAGTATTGAGGATAGATGAGAAGGATAACCCTAGTGACTGAAGCAATATGAGTTGTAAAAATTCTGCTCTGTGCTGTCTCTGCACTGCATCCGTAATCATCAGTTGAGACTTCGTTGATCCTTGTTCTCGCAGTTCCGCGCGAAATCTTGATTTTTGTTTTAGAGACAGAGAATATCTTGCACTCGTCATCGCTGGTACTCTACTAAGGTTCGCGTCGACTTACTAGCATACAACGCGCACATTCGGCGGCTCTCATCCAACGGGTCAGCATCGTCGCGCAGCGGCAGCGGCAGCGGCAGCATGCTTTGGGAATGCGCATCTGGCTCATCGCGTGATTGGACCCGAGCACACAGAGAAACCAATACTACTACTAACCCACACAGACCGACCACAGCATGACCACCTCTCACGGCAATGCCAGCATCACCAGCAGCAGCACCCACTGCTGGCGGCAGCAGGACCCGCAGCGCGAGAAGCAGCAGAGGCACTACTATCCGTTCCACGGCTATCATCCCCAGGAAATCACAGTCGCCATCATCGCCCTCATGGTGGTTTCGCCGCTTCACCTGCTGCCTGGGACCTGTGCGGCCAAGGTTAAAAGCGCTCAATGTAAGAAGCTCAGCAGCGAATGTAAACTTTGAGTCAAAGTTTTGAAAGGTTGTCACTCACATCACAGCAACTTGTTCAGGAGTCCCACGCCATGTCCCCCCCTCTCCCAGCCCGTTATAACGCCCCGCCGTAGACTACTGGGCCAAAAGCATGGTTGTTTCCAATGCCCAGCGGTAGCCTTTTAAGCCTTTGTGAAAGCCCGCAGGCGACACAACACCCCCCCTTTCACCCCCTCCTCCCCCCCCCCCCCCCCCCCCCCCCCCCCGGCCTCCTCCTCTCCTTCCCGCTCCCTTCTCCCTTCCCCTCCCTTCTCCCCCTCACCTCTCCCCTCCCCCCCCTCCCCCTCCCCTCTCCCCTCCCATGCTCTCCAAGAATAATGAACCAGCGGGGCGCGCGCGAGCATCTTTTTCGCACTGCGCTGCGTGCTTGCGAACACTCACCGCCCCATACCGCGCGACCCGCATACCCAATCTGCCCTCTCCCATTTACCCGGCTGGGCCTTCTGTGGAGGACAAGGGAGTGGGCGGGAGGAAGTGTCCTGCCCGCTATGTTATTGTTACTTTGAGAAATTTCAAAAGTAGCACCAGCATAGCTGCGCTTCCTGTGAACAAGGAGTGGGCAAGGCGTGTCCCTGCATCTCTGCATCCCTGCATCCCTGCATCCCTACATCCCTGCATCTCTGCATCCCTGCATCCCTGCATCTCTGCATCCCTGCATCCCTGCATCCCTGCATCCCTGCATCCCTGCATCCCTGCATCTCGCTGCGTGCCTTCGAGCGACATAATGGTGTCTTTCGTGCGAGTTGCTCCGCTCTCCTGTTCAACACCAGGGTCGGTCCCGCAGGAGCTTGAGCGCTCGCGAGAGGGGCATGCCTCGGTCGCCCTGTAATAGCGGAACTTCGTCCCTGCGTGTCAGGGACAAACAAAGTATCTTTCATGCAAGTTTCTCCCCTCCCATGCAACAACACGCCAGGGTCGGTCCCCCAGGAGCTCAAGTGCGAGTGGGGCACGTCTCAGTCGCCCTGTACTAGCGGAATTGCGTTCCTGTCTGTAAATAAGTATCTTGGCGAAGGGACAAAGTATCTTTCATGCAAGTTGCTCGCTCCCCTCCCATGCAATGCAATGCAACAACACGCCAGGGTCGGTCCTCCAGGAGCTGAAGCAGCAGTGGGGCGCGTTCACAGGCAGTGCAACGTGGGTACCTGACAACGACTGTGGCACCATCACGGGCGTTACTTGCAATATCGATGGCGATGTCACTGCATTGTGAGACAAGTCACTGAGTCACCGAGTCACTGCTGCTGAGTCACCGAGTCACTGCTGCTGAGTCCAGACGAGCTGACTTTTGAGTCGACTCAAAAGTCCCTTCAATGCCGTTACTTGCAATACCGATGGCGATGTCACTGCATTGTGAGACGAGTCACCGAGTTACTACCGAGTCACTGCTGAGTCCAGTCGTCCTGCTGTTGCCCATGGTGACCTGAGATTCTTCTGGTGCCGGCCCCTCCGCTGCCTAGGACAATATAACAAGCTTCTGTGAGCCGATTCAAGCCCCTGTTCTTGGCACTATCCCCACGGTCCCCTGTTCTTGGAATCAGCTCACAGGACCCCTCCCAACATCATTCGTCAACCCTGCTCTGATTTACTTTTGAGGCGCCTCAAAAGTCGCCTCAAAAGTCGCCTCAAAAGTCGCCTCAAAAGTCGCCTCAAAAGTCGCCTCAAAAGTCGCCTCAAAAGTCGCCTCAAAAGTCGCCTCAAAAGTCGCCTCAAAAGTCGCCTCAAAAGTCGCCTCAAAAGTCGCCTCAAAAGTCGCCTCAAAAGTCGCCTCAAAAGTCCCCCACAACCCCGTCAAACCCAATGCACAGGGCGCTGACGTGGAATCAGCTCAAAGGGCCCCTGCCGCCATCCTTCGTCAACCCTACTGCTCTTTTTGAGATGTGAGGATGGGGGAGGAGGTGTTGGGGTCGGCTTGGGGTGAGGTGGGGTGAGGTTGGGGTGAGGTCGGGGTGAGGATGGGGTGAGGATGGAGTCAGGTTGGGGGAACGTTGCTATTAGGTTAAGGGTGAATTGGGGCTGGATTGGGGCTGGATGGTGGGAGGTGGGGGAGTGACGCAGGACGTTCACCCGACTAGAAGGGTTGGAGGGCAGAGTTGAGGGGAGCGGGGTAGGTGGGAAGGAAATAGGGGAAGCTTTGGGAGTTACGATGTGTATTGGTCCAATGTGCTCTGAGCAATGTGTGTTGTGGTGCGAGGTACCGTGGCCGTGAGAAGATCATTGAGGAGTTGATTGATTCAGGGGGAGGGGGCGGGGGAGAAGGCAGGTGGACGCAGAAACAGGGAAAGTGGAGCTGCGGATGTGAGGTTTGGAATGATCATAGTGGGTGGGTGGGTGGTTGATGGGCCTGATAACAGGGCATGGTGCCTTTCAAAGAGTACGACAGGGAACGGCATGGGGCGTGCGTTTGTGATGATGCTGCTGTGATGTGATGTGATGTGATGTGATGTGATGTGATGTGATGTGATGTGATGTGATGTGATGTGATGTGATGTGATGTGATGTGATGTGATGTGATGTGATGTGATGTTCTTCCTTCCCTTACGCCTTCAAACAGTGCGTTTGGGGCATTATTGTTTCTGATGTCATTCTCCCGTCATGCTTCTGTCTCACATGCTGATGCCACGGTGATCTCGTGTGTTTGTCACAATGCGACTTCTGAGTCAACCCAACAGTCAACTTTGTCACAATGCATGGGGCCGTGGATGGAATGGTGGGACTGTGTGATGGATGCAGGGATATTGCATACAATCAGCTCACTGGCACAA